CCCTCTGTTTCAGTGGAGTATGTTTCTTTATATATTTTATATACACAAAGAATTTTATGTACATAATATATGTTTAATATATAATATATAACTATATAACACATAATTATGTATAATATATAAAGTTACATATAATGTATTTATACAAATAAACGCATATAAAAAGAATATTTTCTCCTTTTAGTATTTTTTTCTTTAGTTAACATAATGGTATCATTTTCTCTTCCTTTCTCTCTAGTCCAGACTAGCTCGTTTTTGCATTTTAGATCTCAGTTTAATTTTATTTTCTTAGGAGACCTTTCTAGAGCCTCAAACTAATTAAGCCCTTTTCTATGTTCCCTTAATGACATTCAGTCATAACACTCATCTTACTTTATGGTAGTTGCATTTGGTAATATGTTTCTATCCCTTGATCCACATGAAAACACATATATTAACAGATTATCTTTTCTCTTATTAATACAAAAAGCTGAACAATTTAAATTTTCATAAAAAGCTATTCCTTAAAATAGTAGACTTATATAATTCAAACAGCAGGTTAGTGAACTATTGAATGTTAAAATGCTTAACTTAAAAAATAAGGGATTGATTTTATTTACATTCTTTTTTGTTCTCTATCATTATTAGAATTTGAGCAAGTGCCATAGATCTTTGGCTAATGCTCAATAAACTGAAAAAGAAGTATCATTTTATCATTAGGTATCGCTGATTTTCATGCACTTTAAATTCATAAATTGATTTTATTGTTACGCTTTTCTTTAAAAATATATATTCATTGTAGAAAATGTAAAAAAAAGTAAAGATGGATAATTTATAATAATTAGTACTCAGAAATAAATGCAAATGCTATTCATATCTTGCTGTATGTTTCTTCAACTGCTCCCTATTAATAAACTTACAGGGAAGCAATAGATTTCTTTCTGAACTTAAAATTTTAAACATTTATTAGCATGGAAGATGAGTTGCTATGTCAGCAGTACTAGTATTTATGTGAGATGTTTTACAAAGCATTGAGAGAGAGCGCTGGGAACAGTACAACACAGGTTGTATATTATCATTTTCCACATGGACTCATGAACTTGAGTGTAAAGTCTGTATTGAGAACTATTCCAAGAAGCAGCCTCAACATAGATGTCAATTATAGAAGACACTAGAAAAATTCTCATGAGCCACTTGATAAGAGGTGAAAGATGAGTTTACACATTATGCAAGTGGCAGAAAAAGCCAATGAAATCTGAATATTTCTTTTAATGTAACTTTATTTGTATCTGCAAACTGGAAGTATGCATTCACGTCTAACCATCTGCTTATATGTTCATCCTATAGTTACTACTTTAAAACTTACTTTCTTATTTAACATTTTTCATGCCATTATACTACCATATTGTTTCATTTTAATGCTTGTGTAGAATTCTATTATCATTCTTCCTTTTAAAAACATTTTAATGAAACAGTTCTGTGAAAATTCACAAATTGCAATGGTATAGCAATTTATGAACTTAAAGTGACTGAAAATGTGTCTAATTTCTTTTTAAGTACAATTCAGCAGAGCTAGACATTGGTCTTCTATTGAATATATTCTGCATTCTAAATTGAACCTGCTAGGATGCTATTTAAATATCATCCTATTTAACCTTTTGAAATACAGGATTTGGTTTTTAGTGGGATGTTGGCATTCCATAATAAAATGAAACCAAATGTACTCTGACATAATTATTGCCTGGACTAGCAGGCTTTTATTTGTGCATTATAGGTTGTGTATAATAAAGGAACAGATTCAGTCTAATTTATTTTACCCAGGAAAGATGGGGGAAAAATTTCAAGGGGAAATAGGCTTTCCTTCAGGTTTAAAAATGAAGCACTACACGTAACTAATGCTAAATATTTTATCCATTCTTAGGTATAAACTCTATACAAGTAAAGCTTACAAAAGTGACATCACAAACCTTCCTAGTCAAAAGCAAGCTAATGAATGAAAAATAAACAGTGAAGTAGGACAAATTACACAGAACAATATTCACATTATGCTGCAATCATTTATTTGAAGGTCAGTGTCCTAACAGACCAAAGGTGGGTGTCTAGGATTATATTTGTATATGATGCATAGAGACAATGCCTGACAGTCAGAAACGTTCAATAAACATGTGTGGCATGTAGGAGGGAAGGAAAGTGGAAGAGAAAGAAGATGGGAGAACGGGGAGGAGAAAGACAAAGGCAAACCTGGGAAAGTAACTGCAGGAGAAAGGGAGAAACAATGTCTAAAGTGATTTGTGGGCTGTCTGTCTCTCTTTTTTTAAACTGAATCACAGTATAAAGTTTCTAGATGATTATCGGAAGCAGTTCATAGTTCACACTTTTGAATTGAAAAACTAAGGTTATTTGTCTATTTTAGTAATGCTAAATTTTGGAAAAGCCATATTTTTTAATCTAATAATGGAAG